TTTTTTTTTTTTTTGAAAATCCAGAATTAACCCTGAAAATTGGACATGTCCCTCCTTCGTATGTATATTTTACACAATTTTTACAAGATATGTAAAAAAACTTTGGAGCCGTTTTTGAGAAAATTTTGAAAAGGCCCGGGGGTTTCATATGTAGTACCCCAATATTGAAGAAAGATTTTCAAAATCACAGCGCCTCGATTCGAGTCAGATCTCCCGGGGAATATCCATTTTGGAAAAAATCCTACCTAAGGTTTAGGCGCTAGTTCACAGACGGACGGTCGGACGTTTTGAAAAATACACTTTTTCAGTATCAGGGGACCCCAAAACGTGTATTTACGTTAAAATCTTGAAATCGATTTTCCGCAGCATTACATACCTTTCCCTATACTACGTATATTACTCCGTATCCGCTCAACATCACATACTTTTTCGCATTATCGGCAACAGCTACGTAATATTGAAATATTCCCATTTCTGAGCTACTAACACCTCAGCTATTACTTGAGGACGTCCAATTCAATCAATTCAAACAACGCACCTATGATGCATATATTCATTCATTTCGATAGTCAGGAACAGCAATCATTTGTTTCTTTTGCAAATGAAAAAAAGGAATAAATTTGACTGTTAAGACCCATTTACAATGCACACTTAAACATAAGCATTAATTTAAAGTTAGGACTACGTCCACAATATGTTCCCATAAGCATAACACGTAAGACGTTAATTTAAAAGCTTGTAAGCTTCAAGCTTCTGTGCTTATGCTTAAGTGAGACATAAGAAATAAACTAATCACAGTACGGTAACTCAAAATCGAAAATTGAAATAGGAGTGAAATCGACAAATTAACGCCATATGGGCCATGGACACACTCGATACATTGAAATCGATTCTCACATCCAACCAAAGAAAGTCAGAATGTCTCACAGCCAATAGAAACTTATTTTGCTTACGTTGTTACACATTGTGAATACTTCAGTCTCATCACTTATGTTAATGTTTATGTCTATGCATTATGCTTATGTTTACGTTTGCATTGTGAATGGGCGTTTACAGTATTTGCAATAAATAATACAGAAGCGAGCAACGCACCGTTGCCAGCGCAGCGTTCTTAAAAAATGTGGAAACCGTTTGGTACAATATGCTTGGCGAATATTGTCTTATCAATTCTTGGCAAAAACGCTTATTTCCATCTTTATTCAGATTTTGAGTTGTTTATGGCTTAGTCATAGTATATCATACAGAGTTGATTAGGAACTCACTCTAATAAACTAATTAAATTACTCATGTTCTATGATTTGTAATATTAAGTTAATTTATTACCGCCTTATTATGTATTGAGACCGAATTAAACGAAGCACAGGAAAATAAACCTTTAAACTTTATAATAATGTGATTCATTGTTTCTATTTCAATTTTATAAGCTAGTGTCGGTGGCCAAAATCGTCAAATATTTAAATAGCATTTAAAATAGTAAAATGAGCCCTTTAATATTCTATAGCCGGCAACAATATTCTATAGCCGGCATTAATATTCTATAGCTGGCCTTTAATATTCTATAGCCGATCCTATAAACAGCAACGTGTTTACTATGCAAAAATATAAAATAAATCCATAAGTTTTGTAAACCATTTTTTAAATTTACAACTTTCAAAATATTTACTCAAAAAGAGAACCTAATTTTTATTTTTTTTAAACGTATAATCAACGTTCTTCTGTATTGCTTTATACTCATTGAAATTTTGAATGACTTTAACGCCATTCTGTTACAAATGAAATTGCTGGTATTGCTGGTAAAATGCTGAAATGTGCAAAGATAAGTGACCTTTCTTTCAGTGAAAATATATATGTTCTATACCTCGCAACACGGACAAAAAATATGGATTTCCTAATATGTTTCAAATCATTTCTATAAGCTAATATACAAGGCTTGTAAACGTACAACACAAGCTCGATTGTAAATAAAACCACTTTATCTTATCGCCGTTGTTATCTTCGCCAGCATCTTGTCGTTCAACAATGAACTTCTCAAATATCAATCGTGGCATGTTACCAGGGACCGGCAATAAGAGTATTTGTGTCGCAAATTCGCTGTTTTCAGGCGCACGATTACAACACTTTCTCTTCTTTCGTTAGTAAAGGCGAGAATGTAAAAGGGGAAAAACCAGTAATCGGTCAAATTTATGGAAATAAATTGTTTTATTATGCATATAGTACATAAAGCATGTAGCACCATTGCAGCAGCACCATTACGTACCGTACTATGTACTTACATAGTAAAGAGAGAGAATTATTAGATTGCGACAAACTATAGGTGATTTTCAACAGAAAAACACGTATTAAGGAGCCCAGATATCGAAAAGGTGGATATCTCATGTTCCTATATGTAGTAAGTTTCTTCCTCAAACACTTTGTATAGTCAAAATTCGTGAGCTCTTGATACCAAAAAATTGGTTGACGGCAAAACGTCTGTCTGTCTGCCTCCTCTGTTCGTCTGTCTTTGGTCAATGCTAGCGCCTAAACTGTTAATTATTTTCTCCAAAACTAATATTCCCCAATCGTTCTGGGAAAATCCCAGGCCCTGTGAGTTTGAAACAGATATCTTGGTTTTTTGTGGTACTTTACATGAAGTCTCAACTTTTTCAAACTTTTCTCAAAAATGGGTGCAAGTTTTTTGATTATTTTTTTCTTTGGAGACTGAACAGAACGGTTTAAAAATGGAGCAGGTCTCATTTTCATCGAAATCTTTGGATTTTTGAAAATTATAAAATTGAAATTTTTCCCGGCTTTTTCCTAGAAAGTCAATATTTTTTCCTCAATGAAATATGATTTTCAAAAACAGATCTTTGAATAAGGTTGTTTACATTTTTTTGAAAATATGACTGATATAAGGCAAAAATATTTGTCTGACATAAGGCAGATTTTGAACAATTTTGTTTTTCTCAAAAATCCCAGCATTTTTTTTAATCCCCCTCCTGCATTGCCAAGGACAGTAAAAAACATTGATGCTGGTCCAATTTTTGTTGAATGTGACGTATTTTCAAAAATTGAAATCAATTAACAGCAAAGTAAATATTGATGACAAAGACTCGTAACGGCGATGGTGTAACGGGTAGCATAGCGGTCTACTGAAGTTGGCGGATTCAAACCCGATCGAAGCCGGCGATTTTTAAGTGCGAAAAATTCCATTGTACCTCTTCCTTCGGAGGGGGAGTAAAGCCGGTTGTCCCATGTTAATAGATTTACTTGCATGTAGAAGATCCTCAAGCCTAAATGACGCCTCTGAGCTAAATTCAAATCGTCGCCCAAGAAATACCTCCTTTCTTCGCTAGTGGGTGAAAGCAGCATAGCTAAACTTGCGTGGTCAGGCGGTTCAATAAGGCAATGCATAATTTTTTTTTAATTAGTAGTTTTTGTCTAATTTTTACTTTAAGTTAATGTAGTTTTTTTTCCAAACATTTCTTCACTTCATCTTTTTGTAGGATAGAGTAAAGGATGCTTAAAAAAATGCGCAGGTCTCATTTTCGTTGCATTCCCTCATTTTTCAAAAATTACAAAAGTATGAAATAATGCGAGAAAGCGTATGCTGTTGATCACCTCTATCATCGCATCCAACAATATATTTAAATTGTGAAGGTTGAAGTTGTGGGGCAACAATTTCCATTTATAAAAGTGGATACTACTTGTCAATTCCAGAGTTGGGATTATGTGATTTAGTTCAACTGGAATAGAAATAATTCCTTCAGAATAGGCATCATTTTTCAATGTGATAAGAGTATGAGCAGATCTGCTCCAAATCTCATGAAATCTTTGAAAAAATTACCTTACAAGCCTAGTTGGATAGGATATGTTTTTATATTGTCATTCCATTCCGATGCTCGTAAATGTTGACGTAACAATAAACTGCAAAGACGGTAAAAATATCGCGCAACTATACGTAACAATATTTACTTTCGTATTCTCGGCGTCCACTGCGAATTTGGCGAGTAATTCAAACCGATATTTTTGAATAGGCCGGTAAAGAAAACCTCTAACCGAATGGCATTGTATCAAATGAAATGAAACGTAACGTGAAAATGAATGCCGAGAGTTCGTTACACGATGCAGGTTCGATACCTGGCGAATACGAATCTGCGATTTGAACAGAAACAGAGGCCATCAACAAGTGCGGAACGGATAGAAAATCTGGCGACAGGAGGGAATGTTCTCAAATGGCCTCTGAAGAAAGACTATGAACAACCCAAAATTTAGTCCGAAAAACTTTCAAGAGAGCCCTGAAAAGTTAGAAAACGTCACAGCGTGGAATTTGACCAAAATGACAGAAACATTGATACATATGAAGAAGATGAGGGTAGTGACACAAACGTGATTACGATGATATTAAGGAGGAAGAAAATAATAGTTCAGCAATAACTCTTAACATTTTCATCAACAAGACAGTTTTCTAGTCAATAAGACATTTTGTAATTTTACTTTGACTAAATAGTAAGAATTAGTTTAAAATTTTAAATATTCTCAGGACGCCTTTTTAAAATAAGGGACCTCTTATATTTCAGGTCGACTCATATTTGGGTAAATATGGTAATTGCTTGCTATGCTTTCTTTATACTTATTATTTCAAGGTATCATCATTAATAATTTGGAGGTACTTTTCATTTTAATAAATTTGTTACTGAAAGTAGGATATAGCAAAACCCACACGAAAGACTGATATGTGACTCAAATAACTGTCTTCTTACAATTTTTAGATAAAAACTATTAAATACTTTGCTTTTCAACCAAATAAAATGGGGTTGAGGAAATTTTGTCTGTTGTGATTTTGTCTTTAACAAATGTTTGAGAAAACTGATTTTTTGACTTAGATATTAAGTTTATTAAATATTTTTACCACAGTATTTGACTAATAATTTAATATTAAGAATACCTTTTGTTACGGAATATTGTAAGGATATATTTTATTGCTTTATTTGTTTCTAAACAAATTATTAATGATATTTCAGGAGAATTTGCCAATGCAGCAAACACAATTAAGTAAGGCTCCACATTTCACCACTAAGTTACCAGAAATTGTACCTATCCGGAATGGTGAGCTTACAAGGTAATGCTTTTGAAACCATAAATCACTACCTTCTTAAGAGAAAATAATGTAAGAAGTATAAAAGTCTTACTATTTTCTAAATGGGTTAGAACTGTTAGGAATACACTTTTCAATACATTAAAAGTTTAAAGAAATGTTTCTATTGTCAACTCACTTATGATTAGTTTCTTATTATCACCTTCATTTTTTAATGTACTCTACTTATCATATTAATGATTATTAATGTTCAGATACAATTCTGGATACATTTTATCCACAAATTAAATTAAAATATTACATTGAGTCCACTCCTAAATACAGTTCTTCAGTGGTTAATAACAATTTATATTGTATTTCATCAATAAAGTAATTAATACTGTGACAACATTTGAGGACTCAAGTTATTTGAGAACTCCAGAAGCAAATGAAAGAGTATCTCCGTATTTCTCTCACTAGACAGAAACTATCTTAATATGGATCTTAAATAATACATTCCAGAAGTATTAATATTCAGCAATTTTCTTATAGGCAATTAACTATTCACACTACAATTTAAGAAAGTAACATCACTGAAACAATAAAAGTTATGATTTATGTACAAAAAATTAAAATTATCATTATTTAAATGTAAAATTAAAACATGAATGTAAAACGAATAAAGTTGAAAGCAAACCAAAAGAAAGTATTTACATGCATTTAAATACATTTAGATAAGTATTAGTAATTTATTTTGGTTCTGTATTAATCTTTGTGACATATTTCTTTTACAGACTGGAAGTGAAAGTTGAAGGTTTTCCCAAACCTCAAATTCATTGGCATAAGCAAGGAGTAGAAGTTACTCCATCTAGAGATTTCCAAATAGAAGAATTTGAAAATGGTACTTCAGTGTTAACTATTACTGAAGTATTTCCAGATGATTCAGGAGAGATTATATGTGAAGCTCAAAATGAATTGGGCATTGACACTACTAAGACTGAGCTTGTGGTGGAAGGTAAGTTTACTACTCAACTTTTGTGTAAATATTGTAGTTTTTATCAGAGTATCAGAATCAAGTAAACAAATCACAAGTTCAAACTACTTTTTAATTATATTTGTTATTAAATTAAAAGAAAATTTCATGGTAACTTTGTTCAATTAAGTAAAAATATTTCATAAACATCTTGCATTATCCCTGTCTGGTATAAATTATGAATTAAATCTGACATTCTTATAAAAGTTGTCTTAAACATTTCTCTCATCATTATGAAAAATATTTCATACATAAATAATAATTAATTGAATAAATCTTTAATTTGTAGACAGTTTTAAAATGTGTATAACTATGTCAATCATAATGTTGAACAACTACATGAGAACAGGATGTGAATTGACAGAGGGAGGTGCTGAGATCATCCTTCCCTTAGAGAGTTTAATGTCCTCTGCTTAAAAAAAAAAATAATTTGGCTTCATCATAGATACAATGAATTCAAATTTAAGTGCCTCACTTATATATAAATGATTATCACATTTAGAAATGTTCATTTTGAGGAAATTAGAAAAGAAAACTTTTCTCAAGAGCAATCTGATGATTTATTCAGGTATAGTTTCTCTTCCCAATTCATCAATTTGCCACCCTGCCCTCCCCCTACTCTGGTGTTTTCAACATCACCCTTTCAGAAAATTGCCAATTCACACCCTACATGGCTGTCATATCATGTAGTAAACACAAGTTTTGAGGTATTCCCTGTGTTGACCATATTTCTGTGATTTGTAATGTTTTATATTTTGTTTATTTCTGCTGCTTCTTTTTACAGACTATTTGGTGGTGGGAGAAATCTATTATATGTTGCTTCTGGCATCCTGGCTTCCTTGGTCTGCTCCTTTGATAATTACCACAAACAGCTCTATTTCCAACAACATACCTATCCAAGAATACACTCTCCCACAATCACTTCTTGATATATTTTGCTTTATCACACCTTACAGTATTCTTTACAGAATAGACTATACAGTTCACCAAGTTCATCTACACTTCTTAAAATATTGCCTATTTTATGTATTTGGTGTATTTTGGAATTATATTGAATGAGAACTGACAGTTATTAAAATGTAGCGTTTCTTTTTATATCTTTAGACTCATGTCATGATGTAACTCTCTACATCTTGATTCAAATAATGTTTATCATTTTTTAATAATGAAATGTATAATTTTGTATGAATAATGTATAATACTGTTAATAGTATTATTATATTATTTGATGTAATGGTCAAAACATTTCTTCTTTTTTAAGTGATCTGCACCCATTTTTCAAAATTGTTAAATCCTGATAATAAATCTGCTTTTAAAAGTATTTAACTTCTTTAGTGAATATGTGTAAATTAATTACCACTATGCTCAAAATTAAATCACATGGCATGCGATTGGCATTTGTTCATTGTCAAACTATTTCTACAAAAGCCACTGATGACAATGTTTAGAAACTCATGAATTTAAATTCTTGAACACATTTTATTGTTTTGAACAGTTGCCAATCACATACTACGTATTTTAATAATAGCATAGTGTAATTTTTTTAAACTACATTTCATAATTATAAAATTCATTTTCACATATAAGCAAATTAATTAAAAAGGTTACTATAATATGACATTTATTGAATGATAAGAATGAAATATAAGTTTTAAAATGTCAACCTTTTTGTGCAATGAAAATATTTTTTAAATGAATTTATGCTGTATGCTTTTAAACAGATTTACTATTTTAATTTGTATGTAAACTTATAATAATTTGAGAGATTAAATTAACTGATTATTTAGTACTGTGATTTGTACAAGAATTCTGTGGGGTTGCAAAATATCTTTTATTTATCAAATCCTAAAATAGCATTGAAAATGTACTGTTTTATAGATATACTTGGAACAAAAGAATACCGCAAGCCAGAGTGGGTTACACACATGGAAGAGCTTCAAGAGGCGTTGAGAGGTAAAAGTTTCAAAAATAAATTTATTTGCATCTTTTGGCATGAAAGTTATTGATAAGTTTATAAGATACCTACAGTCATTTATAGATGCAATGGTTATTGACACAAAACCACGTATGACTTCTTTTCCTCAAAAATGATTAAGCAGATCTAGACTAGCCAAAGAGAGTTTAGCCCTGACAGTTGAGATTGAAATTAATATTTACAAACAAACCATAGTATTCTTCATTATTTCATATATCTTCCCAGTTGACGTATCTTGACATGACACTGAAACTTAAAGAAATCTGTATGGGAACTGGAGTCTCAATTAAATGTTCCACAGGCATGTGTGTGGTAGTTGTTGATAGCTATTGCTAATTGTAGGTATTGCTATCCACTCATATTATTTTTATAGTAATGGTTTTGTTGGCATCTTATTGTCTCATTTTCCTGCTTTTTATTGCTTGCATGCTTTTTACTGTATTTTTATCTTCATTATTATAGCAATTTATTTTAATATTATTAGTATCCCCTAAAAGTATCAGTATGCATTAAGATTTACACCTACATGCAAAAGTGGATTCAAGAGGAGCCATGCTCTCCCGTCACCCCCTTCCTGGCAACCAACATTCTTTTATATTTTACTCAATTCAAACCATTATCTCACTTTCATTGAATCATATCCAAAGAAGTATTTCCATTATATTCATGGTAACATCAATATGGTCACTTCAAGCACAAAATTTGCAAAATAAGAATTGGAGACTTGCACTTGCTACAACTTGCAAAAGGGAGCGTATGACTTCTACAGACAAGGTGTAAAACGAAGATAATTTTATTTATTTTCCCTTCTGTTGAATATAAGTAATATGATGAAGAAAACTTCTTAATATTAGTATTGCAATAATGTAACATAAACTGGTACTTTATTCAACTTTTTTGGTTTCAAACACATTCAGTGGGTAGAATATTGACGAGCTATTACTGAGTCTGAGCATCTGAACACTACCAAAAGTTTGCGATTCTCAGGTGGCCACTACTAGAACAATAATGGGATTTGGAAATTAATAAAAAATAGAACAAATTGAAAATTGGCCATTTGTAGGCAAGGGAACTATTCAAAAAGAGGTATTCTAATCACTTATTGAGTTTCAAACATGCATTTAGTATGGTAGGCAAATAATTTTGAGGAAACAATGAAAATGTTTTTAATTGTGGCCACTGCTGGTACTTTAACACTATTTATAATTTCATATAAGCAATTTTTGATAAACTTGCTTGTAGCCTACTTCATCACCACCAAATGATATTAAACATCATATTGAATGTTTTGACCCCTATAACATGAATACTAAGTCAAAACTTGGCACTGAAATGTTTTTGAGATGAACACCAGAGGCTTAGCTAGGCTGGTGCAATAAGGACACAGCACTGGGACACCTGAAGTCAGGGACTGTAATTATTTATGTTAGGGCCCCCACAATGATATCATGCAAGCCAATTCAGATACAGATGAACATAAATAAGTAGGGAGTATACTTGGAGTTTGAGCCAAGTTGTTGTAGATAATAGGAAAATGGTATATTTTTCCCCTTATTTGTAACATTTTTAATTGTGACGATATTCACACAACTTTGATTCTTTAAGTGGACAGACATTTTTTTTCACATCAGAGGAATACAATGATCGATTGTGGTACAATTCACAGATTCCTAGAACTTCCTTTTTGGTGGAAAATGCTTCTGTCCTTCCTTGTGCTCATAGATTTCATCTATCTCTCCATGTGAAACCTTGCTTTCATGGCTTAACAGTGCACACAACTGAGCATACTACATTAAATGATTCTGAAGTGGGGTGGTACTACCTAAATACTACTAGTCGTTAACAGTATTTAGGTGGTAGGCTGAGTGGAGCCAGCCAAAGCTATGCACGTGGCAATCATGATTAATTTAATGTCTTTAACAACCTAGAATTGATTTAATATGTAATAAATTTATTGTAATTATTATGTACTTGGTATGGGACAACAAATGTAATTTTATTGGTACATTACATTTTATTGGTATATTACTAGAAATGGATAGAAAAACAGTGCTTCCTTATACTATCTTCAGAACTATTAAAGTGGGAAAAAAATGAATTATCATAGGAAGAAAAACCCAAGAAAAATGAAGCAATAATTTAATGAATTAAAGACCAAATTTACATTCTAATACATACAGATGAGTCCAAGTAAAGTGTGAATTTATTTTCTTTCTCTTTATCTTAATTGATTGGCCAATAAATTCATTCCATTGTGTAAAATGAATACACATTTTCTTTTCTTGCATCTCCGGATAGTAACAAAGAATTAGTTTATAAAGCTACAATCCAAAATAGAAACAGATGAACATAAGTAAGTAATGCAAGAAATGGAGCAGATGCAGATTAATGCAAGAAAGTTATGCAAGTATATTTTTATTGAAACACAAAGTTTATTTTGATTTCCATCTTAAGAATGGAGAGCTTTGTCAGCAGCAAAAGGCCCATTCCTTTTGCTTTCCAGAATCCTTCAGAGAATATGTAGATAATTTTTTTAATTACTTTCCAAACATTAACAATACTTGTATGATTGTGTTCCTCTCTTCGAAAACTTAAAAAATAATGTTGAAAAAATGTATTCTTCCATTTAATATATCAATAATGGGTTAATATTGCCCAAATTAAAAATGTTACAAATGCACGTCTTGTATTTCATGATGATGGACATTCATGTATTTGGTTCTAACTCCAGGCATACTATTTATATATACATAATTATTATTATTATTATTATTATTATTATTATTATTATTATTATTATTATTATTATTATTATTTATTATCATCATTATTTTAAAAATATTTGTAGAAGGAATTCTATCTGTAATCCTCCTGAAATACTATTTTTTCATCCTCCCCTGCCTATATGTCAATTTAAATTTTTATTTTTGAATTTTTAACACACTTTATTAATATCTTATTTTCAGAAGTAATTGAAACATTCAATTAAGAGAGTTGTGAAATTTGTAAAATAGAACAGTTATGTTTTTCAGAACAATCATATGAAGGAGATATTCTGAGTTCATACAATGAAAAGGGTAGCAAAGTTTATAAAGCAGTGATATGTCAAGAAGATAATATTGGAGAGAAATTGGAAAGAAATGTTGCCGGTGTGAGCCGAACAGAATTCCATTTTCAGGAATTAAAAGAAAAAACAGCAGAAGTGGTCAAGATAATTTATGTTTCAGAGAATAAAGAAGAGAATGTTAATAATTTTCATACATTATCTCCAATAGAGGAAAGTAGTGAGCCTTCCACAGCCAAAAACAGTGAAAGAGGGGATTTGGAGGCAAATTTAAAAAAGTCTGATGATAGAGTGGAATATTTAAAGTTACTTTCAGCATCTTGTGAAACATTGCATCACAAAGATGAATCAATAAGAGCTGGACTCCCGATAAAATATCTAACATTTCCTCGTCCGAAGATTCCTGTGCTTTCTCCTGTTCGTAATAATGCATGCTACAACATTCCTGAAGATACAACTCAATACTCATTGCAACCTCGTGAACTTGATCCAGCTAGTTTCCACCAGTTACATATGGCTGACAGCCAAGAGGAATTGCAAGAATTTTTGCTTCTTGAGAGTCAGTGTATGACAACTGAAGGTTGGGGGCTTGCTGCTGCTTTTTTGGCCTCTGATTTTGAACAAAATTCAAGTGATGAGGATAGAGACCAATGGGTATTAACAAGGCCACTGTCAGGTAATTTTTTAAATTTAACTAAGAGGAATTTCCTCTCTTTTCTTCTAGTGGATTTCAGTAACTATATCTAGGGATTTCTATCAGTAAAAACAATATATGTGTGTAGATATAAATATATACACATATACAATCAGCATTATTTATATAGTTTCAGTACACTCTAAAGTTTATTATAAAAAAATCAATACATGTTTCTGAGTATTTGGACCAGAACACAAAAAAAATGGAATAACTTGTGTAATCCACTTCGTGTTTACGAGCCATGGTTGTGTTACTTGGTCACTGATAATGAGGTGAATATCCCAAATCAGGGAAATGAAAAACTCCTTAACTCCAAACAACTATATTTTACAGAAGAGAAAAATAACATATCATCTCTCTCAGTATTCACAGATGTTATCCAATAAGCTATTGATATTGAAGAGATTTATGATGGCTTTCTCTAACCAGAGTTAGAGGCAGGGTTAGAGGATACCATGGGTTTATCCCTTCTACACACCAAAATGCAAATTTTGCTCTTAAATCATTGTTAAAAATTGGATTAAACCCTTGCAAAACATTTTCAATAAAAGGTGGAGTTAATGAGTTTTTGTTCTCCCTGCTTCATTTTTGTTAGGTCAATTATATTATCATGATGGAATTCAACAATATTTCTGCTGCCTTTTGCAAGATTTTTATATTTGTATGTGTAAGACTTAATTCTGTAAAATTATGTAATTTCAAACAACAAATGATGAATATTTCTACATTTTGTAGGCTTGATGGAAATGTCCTTAAATTATGAGCTTTCATCTAAGAGACATTGTACTATGATTTAGAAAACATGACTCGGTAGGTGGCTAATGTTTTGTCAAAATTAATTTTGTCACATAGTACTATTTTTTGTCAAATAGAACGGAAAGACAAAAATTCCAGCATATCTATTTTAAGTAAATTTGTTGATTCACTTGGCTAATGTGGCTCTGCGGCACATCCAATACTATACTTCTAGAAAATTTTTGAACTATTGGATAGAAAGAGAAAAGATGTCTTTTTGCCTTAATAATTTTCAATTTTTTTCTCTACGATAGCAAGTAAAGATATCAAACAAATACTTTCTATCTTGCCCACAGTTTCAGTCTCAAGTCTGAAATATCATTCCTTTGAATCCTTTCATTCCAATACTGCACTGTTGTCACTGGAAAAGATAACTAGTGGTGCTTTAACAGAACATACTTTACTCTGCAGTATTATACATGTAGGCCTACCTGCAAAAGTGTTTTCAAACAGAATTTTTTTCAGCATCGATACTTGAACTCAGGTCCATCGAGTTACCTCACCATGGGCTTTAGCACTACACCATAGTTCTGAGTTTCTCTCTCGGGCCAATTCTTAAAAAATTGAATTATCTCTCTCATTATTTCCAACATGCAATTTTTGAAAATTCAGAGTGTTCAACGAAAATGAGAATTGCACTATTCTTTTAAGCATTCCTTATTTTATTTGTGGAAAACTTTTAAAGCTGTTTTTGAGAACTTTTTAAAATAAATTGCTTTAATTTCAAGCAGAAATTACATGAAAATGACTCATTTATTTAAAGAATTCTACATGACCTTTTGTAAGGAGTTGTCTTTTAAAACAGATTTTGTTTAAGGCAAACATCTCTATCTTGAACTTTGTAGTTTTTAAATATTCACATTTTACAATTTTGAAAATACAGAGAGTTCACTGGAAATGAGACAAGTACTATATTTTTATTGACCTTTCATACATACAAACAGAAAATATAAAGAAAAAATCAGAGTCATTTTTGAGAAAAATCTATTAATAAAATTAAAAATCGTCTATATTCCACACAAAATTACCCCCAAACTACTCATGTTTTCAAAAAAATTGTACATGAGCTCATTTCAAGATGTCTTTTGAAAACAGATTTCATTTTTGGAAAAAATATTTATCTTTAATATTGTAGTTGGAGGAAGATGCCCAAAAAATTATTGCAAAAGTACACTATTGTTGAAAAAGACTTTTTCATTAATAAAGTCTGTTCTTAAATATTAGATCTTTAAATAAGGTCAAGAACAGGTTTTTTTTCAAAAGTGTAGTTCTCGTGCATTTTCTGGTAGATATCAGTAAAATTTAGAACAAAATTCAAAAACGCTCCAACTTTTTTCTTTAAATTTTTTCATCGAATAGGGTTAACAACGCTAAAAAAAAATGAGACAGCTTTTCGTCGAACCCTCTGAATTTTTGACTTGCATGAGTTAAAAATAATGCGAATAACCACTAGTTTTTAAGCGAAATCTGAAAATAACCGTGAGAGTTGGTGGGTAGCGATAATAGGTTTAGAATGTTGTTGCTCAGACGTGAGTGCGATCCTCGGCGCGGATAAAAAAAAATCGCTGGTTCATGTAGTAGGATAATGTTGCGCAGCTACCGCGATTACAGCTAACGCGAGAAAGTGTGTGCTGTTGTAGCACCGCTACTTTTATTTGGGAGCACGCAAATCAAATACTCTGCGGTCCATCCATGGTAGAGAAGAGGGCTCAGGTTGGTTGGCAGCGGGAAGTCCGCCGCAGCGGTGTGCGATACGATTTTCTTGCCTTCGAGACGTTCAGATTAGCCCCTCCCACAGGCGACTTCCTGGCCAAAACCTCTGGGAACAACAAAATTATATGCGCGAGATTTCTTGGGTTCTGGAGTTTCTATCCCCATTTTTACGGCAACGTTAATTGAGTCAAGAATAAAGGATAGCAACGAGCGTTGCTGACAAAACTGATAACAATTTACTTTTGCTCAAGTAGGGTAAAAGAAATGATTTCGCTTGAAGAATTCCAATACGGCGTACGTAGTATACGAGAAAGTAGTATAAACATGTGATACTTTTCAGGTTTTTAGGAATGTGACATTAATATATAACTAAAACTGCGTCAAAACCTTTTGCTATGTATCATTTAATACCGTTTCCAGAGAGCCTCACAATGTAGATCAATCTTACCATTCCTAAAAGAGAAAGCTTAAGTGTTATTCTAACTTGTGGCAGTTTTCATTCCTTGGGAGTTCATAATGTTTTGTGTTATAGTTTATGAAGTCATGTATTGAAGGTCTTGGGGCAGTAACAAGATAAGCCATATCAACTACAGTAAGCCCCCTGCTATTCAAAAATGTTAATATTACGATTTTGATCATAGTGTATCTCATTTTGTTACTGCCCCAAGCCTTTCATAAATACAAACAATACATATATAGTAGCAAGATAAGCTACACTTTTACCAACATCACAATATAAACAATTATGGAAAGTAGGAGGTTTACTTATGTGTGAGGTGGCTTGTCTTGTTACTACCCTATGCACCTCAATTATACTTGATCTTCGTTCATAGTAAAAGATCTATAGTTCTATTTCTCATATAAATATTATACTTATAAGAAATAACTAAACAATTTACATATCTTTTTGTTATGTTTATTTGTTTTGAATTAGTACTCTTTATAATGTGTTTGCTTGTGTTCTTTTACTGACACAAAACTTCAAGTGAATTCTGTTGATTGATACTTAATACTTTAAGTTGGTGTTTAGCATGAGTGTGTTGATGCCTGTAACCAATTAATTGCATGTATGCCATTTGTTTTAATTAGATCAATAAAAAGAAGATTTATTATAACGAAGACTGATCTACCAAAATTTCATCTAACATACTAGGTAGGTATTTTGGAAGCAGTATTGTGCAATTAATTATTTAGGTACTCTTAGCTGTTTTTTTTTTTTTTTAAATTTTACTTTCAATTTACAAATATTCTGCTCTTGCCATTTTACATAACCATTATGTTTCTAAACATCCTTACAGATATAATTTTTCAGAACATCAATTTTTAGCGTATTAGTTTAATAGAGAATCATATCAGCTCAAGAGTGCTCAGTGTTCAGAAAATCATAAACTTATCAGAGTATATGCTAGTGTTTAAAAAATTAAGGAATTTTTCCAGAACATGAAAAATGTTGAATGGAATATTAATTTCTCTGTATAAATATCATTTTATTACTAATCTGAATATACAAAGTAAAAGTATTCATTAACGTCCGTAACAAACCAAGCCCGAACACGCACTGCCTCGACAGGTCAACCCAAGCAGTTCTTAGTTCAAAATGTTCTATGAAACATTCACAGATGGCGTTAGTGTTTGCGTTTTTTCTTTTCATATTAGCATGGACAAATTTTGTCTCTGCTACGAAAATTAAATATTAATGTTAAAGATTTCTGTAGCACAATGACAAGAAATTACAAGTTTGAATTTACGAATTGAAAAATGGTAAATAATTTAATTGCGCGGCCAAAAGATAAAAGAAATAACAAAATATATTGCCACAGGCGGAAATAATAAGAAAAAATGGAGAGCGTAAACAATCAAAACATCTTTTTAGCCAAACTAAGGAGAAATTATCATGCAATAAATAAGAAATTGGGCATTCGGGCAGGACAATGTCCCGAGAAGAACACCGTAGCAGAAAGCAGTCCGGGAAAGAAACATGCGAATATTGCTTTTAGGACAGATGGCATGATGGGAATCCGAAGGGAAATTTATTGATACAAATAAGAGGCATTGTGACAATGGTGTCATAAAGTACATGCCGTCGTAAAACACTATTTTGAGTTGTACACAAGTTTTCCTTTCTCGGAAGTGATATCAGGAGAAAAGGAGTTTGTAAAAATGTATATGCATGATCTAAAAATAATAAAAGTTCAACGAAGCAATGTAGAACACAAGAATATTGTGCAAACGACAGGTTATATTCATTAAACATGCGTGTTGTAAAATCTGAAAAACTCATTCAAGTGAATCTGGTTACCTCTTGAATAATACAAGTTTCGTATCAGTGGCGATTTCTTTGGGTGAGCAAGTCGTGTGTCAACGCCCTAAGAAATAAAATAAATCAAGTTTTCCTTTGAGTTCACTTAGATTTTTTCATTTATTCGGTCTTCCGTGCGACCCAAGTCATAGATCGGTGCCAGCCCGTCCAT